AGATACAGTCATATTTTCAGCCTTAGATAGTAAATTTTCAAATAGATCGATAATTTATTGATTAACTATTGGATGTTAGATTAAGTCCTCCAAAAATTACATCTCCAAGTATTTGAATCTCACACAATGTACTTGGATGCTCACTACAGCAAATAACGCTTTTCTGGCGTGGTTGCGACCAATCCTGTAACCCTGAAAAAATTGTAAGGTAGGAGCGAGTAGGGCACCACACCTCGGACTTGATTGGTGTGCGTGGTGCCCGTGGTGGTTGCGATAGGTGCACATTGAGTCGTCTACTCTTTGAGAGCGTGTGTTTGGTGATAAACCAACTCGCTGAATCCTCTGCGGGGTGAATACATATAGGACATACGCCGCGTAGACCATGCAGTGAACAGAAGTGAGTGAGGTGATTCTGTTAACCATGTGGAGTGGATGCCTCTGTTTGCCAAATTCTTATTATGTCCGGCTTTTCAAAGCTCTTGCCAGGGCCTGAAAGAAGAAATATGTTTAAGGTTTTTCCCTGTTTGTTGTGCAGTTATTCCATTTCTCTTCAAATATGACATATTGTATTACCAATTCATGTATTGTATGGGAAATTAGCTTGCATATGTGTACCAAATTATGGCCCTTGTTTTACATATGAATTTAGTCACACTGAACAGATGGGCTTACATTACCACCTCTTGCTGTTTCTTTTCTCTGTCAATGTCACGGCACAGGTGTATACAGGTAGCTGGTGGTGTAGTTTTACATTGATTGGGGCTGGGCTTCAGCTGTGCAGCTTGAGTCCCCTCTATGAGATGGGCAAAGCCTAATTGCAGAGCAGGGCCCCTCATTTTGCCTGGTATGTGGAGTCCTGATTGCATGTTATAAATAATTGTAGCCTGGTAGAGAAACAGAGCTCATTCTACATCCTTAATGAAGAATGGTGGGATCTATCAAGGCAGTCCACTATTATGTAACTATGTATTTCAATCTGCATAGTGCTGGTTTATCAGTTGAGTGTGTTTCAGTATGTCATACGTACTATGGATATTATATTTAATATCTGCAGTAGTCTTATGCATGATTTATTAAGTTAAGTGGCACTCTTGGCTTAAGTTATAAGCATGCTTGGATATCCAGATGGACATGGCACCTCTCAGTAGAAACAGCTGAATGCTTCTACAGATCATCTGACTGCTTCTGTTACAGAGTTTGATGCTTATAAACAGACATATCTAAACCAGGGGTATGATTTCTCAAAATTAGTTGAGGGCTGAAATGTGGTGAAATTACATACTCTAATTCAAGAATATGCTAACCAACAGGTTTCTCCCCAGATCTGGCCCCTTTCTTCCAAAGTGGGGGCAGGGGGAGGAACTGAAGCCCAAGTTGGTGGTGGGGTGGAGGAGGAAGGGCTGAAGCTCTCAACTGAATAGGAATCCACACCCCTGTATATAAAATACTTTCTTTTTATAATCACTTACAGGATACTCATTGGGTATGAATCATAAAGCCTGTAAACTTATTATCAGTCAGTTCTGCCTGCTGTTCCAGTCCCACTGTACCAGACACGCCATGTTCAGCCTGCGCCGCTGCCCTGGTCGGCTGCGTAGGCAGCTGACTGCGCTGCAACCGCCAGATGGCCTCTGATTCTGAGAAGGAGAGCCCTGCCCAGCTTGAAACGCAGGTTAGCGCAGATGGTGGCCACTCATGCCAACAATATCCCATGTGCGACATATACAACACATGCAACAATGGGGGTGATTGTCACAAGCAACAGTCAGCAGAGCTGACAGGGCTTTTCATTTGGACTCAATGGTCAGTGCCATGAGTGATATGCAATTGGGCAGTGCCGTAAGTGATATGCAGGCATTTCTTGGAATTGATAGCAATAACAAAAGATGTTTTATTTTCAGCCCATCAGTTGTAATTCCTGTTGTTTGGATCAGTATGACAGTATGTGTCATGAATTTTGTGTTGGTTTCCATGATACGGTGCATTTACTGAGTTCCATGTCTTGATATGCAGACATGCAGGTAAAAACATGTAGATCGTCGCTACTGCCGGTTTGCATACTATCAGCGCTCTGCGGTCTGTCACGATGTGTATCTGTGTTTGTGCAGTACAAATAATTGTTCGTCTAGTTGTTGGTGTACGGAAAATGCAAATCGTTAAGCTGATAAGGCACTGCGCTTGTGGGAAAGTTTGTTTGGTTTAATTTGTCTGCATAGTGGCCTAAATCCCAAATTGTTGTCCAAAATCGACGCCTTAAACTGCTACGCAAATGCATCCTCGTTGTGTATACAGGATTATGGACGAGGATGAACAGAGGCAGAGTATAGATTACTACAGCATTTTCGAACTGCTGCGTCCGGCGAAGTCGTCAACACTGGAATACTTCCGCGAGCTAAATGCCCATGCACTGAGCCGGAAGGCCTTCCACAACTTCATGGAGAACAAAATCTGGGAGAACCGTGTCCTGGACCAGAGGTCAGTACTCCGGACCTGGAGCAGAAGTGAGTATATCGGACGCAGAACCGTAGATAGTAGCGTACATAAAAGCACGCCAAGTTTATCCCACTACTGGAAAAAAGCACCTGGTGCGACCGACATGTCGCCGTCACTCATGACTGACATCAAGCTAATGAGAGAATGAGCAGTCACAGGAGATTCACGCTGCAGATCGCCGAGAACCTCCAATCTCGAAGAGAGTTCCTTTTGTCGTTACCCCAGCTGCGCTCAATTAACGTGTATTAAATAGCTGCTTGTTGGCGTGAGAACAGTAAGAAATGTGGTGCGTCTAACGTGGAGTGCAAAACATTGTAACTAATGCAGTGTTGCAATGTGGCTTGCTGGTTCGGTATTGGTAGACAAATGCCGTCCGAAGTAAATGGCCGGTGACTCCACAGATTGTTTCGTCGCAGACATAGCAAAGGTGTAGCATCTTTAAGATCTGTTTTGATATGATGGTTATCTGTGACGTCATGGGTAGCTATTTGGGAACGGCAGTAAGCGGCGATGAACGCACTTCGGGGCCCAGTTCAAGCAATTACCATGTCTTCTGCTGATCTGGTCTTGGCTTGTGACTTCCTTGAAGCTTATGGTTAGCGCCCGGGGCGATTTATGACTGCCGGCCCGTGGTCTACAGATTTCTGGAGGATCGTCACCAGATTCTGGGCTTTGACCTGGCCGCCGCCCACTTCGTCGTGGCCCGCGGCGGCTGCGTCCGATTCAAGGTCAGTGCGGCGTGAGATGTGTCGGTGCCGCTGCTCACTGAGACCGACGACCGCAAACAGCTGCAAACAGCTGCAACGGTCCGCCAACGCTCCCTTCAGATGTCACTTGCATCGTGGATAAGCTTGAGGTGTTGAGTCGGCTTGAACAAGTCAGTCATCGCGTTTGAAATGTGCCGTTCAATTCCCATTCTTTACTGGATTTAAATTGAGTTGGCAGTGTCTGGTCGCACGTGACTCATCCGATTTGGATCGCAAAGACAGTTTTCCACAATTTTTCACAGGAGCGCGTGCTTTTCATTGAACGTGTGATTGGCGTACAATTATTCTATCGCATTCTTCACTCGCTATGAAAGGAAAAAAACGCGTTCATGTGTATGTTCAACAGGATGGTGGGCCATTGTTCACCTGCGGTCAAAATCGTTGTCCAGTAGATCTGGCAGAATTGTTGTAGCCAGTCGTGTGAAAACCCATAATACTTTATTTGGATGAAAATACATAATTCATTTCATCGCAATCGAGTAAAATTCCTAACACTAGGACGTGGGCGCAGCACATATACCCCATCTCATGGTGATGCAAAACCCGAGCCGTAACACATTGCGACAAATGAATGAGAGCATTTCAATCTCATTCGTGATTTGCTACTGTCCACTTGTGGTGATGTTAGCGAACATGCTTGAACTAAGTGAGTGTCATTTGAGGCTCTGACTTCGTTAGGCTTGAAATGTACTTAAAGAATTTTCATGTTTAATGCCTTGGGGGATCTAGGTGGAACTTCTAGCAGCATGAACAGTGATAAATAGTCCAGAACACTCATCGCAGGCTACTCGTGTGATATCGTCTAATTACCGGTCGCCGCTTGGCAGGGTGACGAGAAATGGGTGAAGAGACTGGAGGATGAGTCGATACCGTTACCAGGCCAGTACACATACGGCATGTTCGTGGAGGAGCTGGACGCCAGTGGCACGGAGATTCTCTATGAGGGTCTGGAGAACTTCAGTAAGCGCCGCCGTCTACCATCTTAGTGATACCGGATAGAGTTTTATTAATATTATCAGATCATATTATAGTATTTATTGTATATGTATATATTTGTGTGTATTTATATATATATATATATATATATATATATATATATATATATATATATATATAACCTCTTCGTCGGCATGGCTCGCTCAGCTTCGTCACGTGCGGCGGGTGGGCGCCGACCACGCGTTCCAGTGCAATGGAGAGCGGCGCCATGCTTTTTTCTATGACATAGCGGAAGACGTTCAGATCGGCTATGTATTAGCATCGGAAGACTTCTTGTGATTCAGATGTGTCAGCCGCTGTGGAATGCGCCTGAGGGGCGCAGATAATGGGTGCCCGGAGCCTTGTGGGGTAGAGAGGCTGTTGCATTTCTGATCTTTTGCGTGCCACTTCGCTGCCGCCACTCCGCCCTGTGTACGCCATAGCCCTGCTTACGAAGTCTGGCATGTTATGGGAAAATGGAACCGGACGTCTCCGTCGCGGGATGCCGGACACGACGGACTCGTTCGCGGACGACCGGCCGTCCCGACTTCACGCTGGCGTTTGTCCGTCGGGTTGGGAAGGTCGCCGGTGTGACTCGTCTTGCTCTCGTGTGCGGCAGTAAGGCTGTCCAAGCTGCGGGCGCTGTACCTGCGCGACTGCCCGTACGTGGACGACTGGTGCGTGGACCGGGTGTGCGGCGAGTTTCGACAGCAGCTGCAGCACCTCGACCTCAGCGGCTGCCGGCGCGTCTCGGAGCGGGGCCTCGAGGGCGTCGCGCAGCTTAAGTGAGACCCAGCTGTGTGGCTGTTTTCCCCACTCGCAGTTCGGTGCATACGTCTGAAGTCGGAGAAAACGCAGGGCCCGACGGTAAAAACCCAGTTGTTTCGACTGTGAGCATGTGTATGCATAAGCGTAATGTCCAGTGTGCAGAATGGTAGTACTATTTGATACGCAACTTGCCTGATTTGGTTGGTCTTAGCTCGTCTAGATTGTGCTGACTACGGTTATGTATGCCAACTACGCATACTGTGTGCTTTGCTGTCTCAACAAATAACCCGATGCTCTTTGGTCGGATGTCACCGTCGTTCGGCAGTTTCTACTAACGCGCCACTTTTCGCAGGAATCTGAAGTCGCTGACGCTGGAGCGGATGGATCACATCCGGTTGCTGCCCTACATGGGCTTACTGCTGGAGGACGCCATCCCAGGCCTGGTGATACACGGAGTAGACGTCATGCAGACGCCACCTGACGACTTCCAATCACTGTCGTCGTCACGCTCCGATGACCAATCACAGCCGCCAAGCTTGACAGCATCCTAGCTGATCAGCCAATGGACACTCGCCCAGCAAACTCCCGCCGGTGCTGGCGGCCAACCGTGCTTGCTTCTACGATGCTGTAACCTGTAGGGCTGTCGGTCCGTCAACGTACACCAGCAGGCTCGGGTTGCGTCAGGCCGATCACTCGTGGGCGACGTTGGCAGTTGCATAACGTTGCATAACTCGGTCACCGGTTGGGGTCCGGTGGAGATGGCCTGTTGCGTTCCGGCCTGCCTGTTTCGCAATAGCAGCGGACGGTGACCGATATAATGCGTCTGGGTCGGTGTGTCCTGGTGTGAAACCTAGAAACGAGGTACAATGCTGGGTATGACTCGGAGTCATGTGTGCTGTGTCCTACCGCATTGGTCAAAAGTGACGTCGAGAGTTTTTACTGTACCGGATCAACACGTTGATATGTGCGTGCTTTACTGGCAGTTGTCAGCACGGAAATGCCATTGTAGCATTGTTTGGAGGTTGTGCGGTCTTGTTGTGGTACGGTGTATTATGTTGCCAGATTGGTCTCAGGTTAAAGATTTTATTGCGACCATCTAAAAAATCGCAAAAACCGAATTTTGCAACGTTGCTTGTATATCCTCTTTTCATCATCTTATAATTGGGCCTTCAAACATCATTGTTCACATTGCTTTGCTCTGGCACGGATCCGAACACTAGAAACGTCCAGCAGTTTGTAAAGGACCATCAATGGTGCGGGATAGATTTCACTGCCGGCATCCATGGTGACCACAATGTGCCGACTCTGGTATTCTTTTTCATCGTATATACCGGAAATATATATGATGAAACAGAAGAAAGTTGCTTGCTGATTGCACCCAGACGTGGTGTATTTCGAAGATTTCTTAGAAGTGTTTGGTAATTTTATATTTGGATGAGATCGCTTTGGTGTTTTTTTGGTAGTTTATATTTTGGTGTTCAGAACAGCTGGTGTGCTAGTGCCACTGACTGAGCTTGCGTCATTTTCGTGAATGCTCGAATTAGGCCTTGCCCACGACGCCCCATGTAAAAATGCATCGTGCTGCTCAAGTCTTCAGTAAGATATATTGTATTTCCATTATCGATTATGTATATTATGTTTCATCTTTCAGCTCAACACTCAGATCGCTCCACCGTGCTTTTCTCTTCAATACCGTACGAGAGTGTAGACAAAGGGTGCACTACGATCGTTTCGGACAAGCAGAATAACGAGATTGAAAACATGCGGTGCTGTTATACCACATGCAAGAAATAGCGCGCCACTGCAGCGCCTTAAAACGGTTTTCCCAGTCCAGCGGTTCAGCCAGAGCTGTGTCGCTCCGATTGCGGAATCTTGCGCAACCTCTGTGTGACGTTTCTTCGTAACTTGAATTTTACCACATAGGGTGAAAATTTCCTCCCAGCTTGATCTGGCTGGCAAAGCATTATTGGCAGCACAGCATTAGACACAAATATGGCGTCGGATGGTGACGCTGCCAGTGACGATACATCATGGTAAGCATGTTTATATGCCGTCCGGTATTTCGTTTGTTGTTTAGTATAAATATGAACACAATAAAGAAAGCTGTGCCAGCGAGTGCTGAGTTATTTGGATATGGCATGTGTATAACCGTAAGAAGTTGTGCGTTACGTTCGTCTCACCACCATTTCCACTGAATCCAGGTCAAAGGAAGCCTATATATACATATATGTTTGATTTAAAGGCATAAATCATTATCTGATTGTTTTTTCTTAAGGGTAATGTGGTTGTGGTCTAATGTGCAGAACTCACCATGCATGTACTGATAGGTTGTTTTTCACCAGCAAATAAAGCATGTGTTTTGTTTGCTGCTTTGCTTTTGCACTGCTTTTGTTGAAATGCTCAGCAGATGACAAGTCATCATAATAATGCTCCTTGTTAATTGTGGACCCATTTTAGATGTATAATTCCACACAACTGCAGATGTAGAATCGAAACTAAATGCTTATGTAGGGTCATCACATCACTGAGAACAGGCACGGCCTTGCTTTTTGGTAGCAGATGTTGGAGCGGGATGGGTTTCGTGCATTTGGCGATGCTGGAACAGCAGGCATTTCAGGTCCCTTTGTTGCAGGAAATTAATACTAGGTCTGATAATTTCTCCTGTGTCACAAGATATGTGACTGTCATCGCTGGTTTTGCAGTAAATTGGAACTGAATGTGGTCACCAGGCCCTCTGTTACAGAATACAAGAGTGAAATATGGCTGCTCCCAATGTTGTTGGACATATTTTAGCATTATGGTACTACTTCTATGCATTTTGGGGCCATGAGAGTGTGATACACTTGCTGGTCTATGTGGAATACTAGGGTTGGAAATTGATTTAATAGTCTGTACCTGAATTGCAGGATGCTGGGGGTCAGATCCTACTACTGCTCCCAGTACCAGTGTGGTGGATCAGGATTTTTATTGTTCCATATTATAGGTGGCTAGCATGGAGTATGGACCTCCCCATGTAGGAGATGTAGGATCTGGAATGTACTATCCTTCCCATGTTTCAAAATGCCAGGTTTGCATGTGACAGCTCCCAGTGAGGAGATTGCTGGATCCAGATGAGACCACTGTTTCCTGGGTGTTAGGATACTGCATTGCAGATGTTAGCCTCATGATTTAGATTTGATCCCAGAATTCTGGATTATACCTTGTTCTGGTCCCAGGTTTTTTGACAGATAGCCTCATGATTCAGATTGGATCCCAGAATTCTGTATTATACCCTGTTCTTGGCGCAAGTTTTCTGACAGCTTTCATAAAATGGCTTGCTACAAATCAATTCATCTGCAAACACCAAAAACATTGTGCTAGTGGTCACTGCCTACAGCCAGTTTGCAAGTACTGGCAGAGCAGGAACCAGATACCAGCAAGCCCTCTCAGTATTTCAAACTACATCAAGCACCACAGGCTGCTTCCACCCTCATTCCCAGTCATTAACCATGGCAAAAACAAAGCAGACATCTGTTTGAAGTTAGCCATGATGCTGCATGCACTGTAAGCACAGCAGTTAGTAATTATGTGTCATCTAAATGACAGTAATCATCTAAATAAATGTCATCTAAATGAATGTAATTGTGACTAAGTGTAGAAGAAAGGAGGAGCACTGCAGATGGTCTAGTGATAACCCAACTTTAGTTTCAAAAATATGTTGGTAAACTTTTTTGGTTTTTTAAAGCTATGCTATTCTCAGCATAACATGATAGAGGTGGGCCAAACCATTGCCACACAGTGGACCTTAGGATGGGGAGGGGAACTTTTATCACATGCAAACCCCATAGCTGGGCAGTGCTATTTGCATCCACAAACATCAGCTTACCAATAAATAAGTCTGTAAAACTGGACAGTCTGTAATGGTTGTTGGTGAAACAATTTGCTTGCATTCTTGTCATATGCCTTATCAACATCCAAATCACCACAGAGTTATAAAAGAAAGTCAAGGAAGCACAAAGCAAAACCTTGTTTTGTTTGTGTGTGTCGTGTCGCATGCCACATGATGTCACATGTCACATGTCACATGATGCCCCATGTTGCACATCACATGATGTGTGGAATGGTTATGCAGAATGACCCCAGATATTTACCAGTATTGTTCAATGTGAACATAAGCAGGAGTTTCATACCATTTATCCCAACTGATGCTGACTTTAGATAGCCATGGCTAAACATCCCATGGTCCGGGGATTGGACATCAGTACCAGGATGGCTATCTCAAAAAGCAGTCACTTCTCTTTGACCTGTGAGATGCTGGGTCCAGGTGTGACCTCAGTCCCTGGGTGCTGCAGGATGCTTGAGCCAGGTGTGACCTCTGTGTGCTGCAGGACGCTGGAGCTGGAGGCGGCGCTGATGAGCGTGCCGGAGGGCGTGGACGTGCGCAGCATCGCCAAGTGCCGGCCGCTGCCGGACGAGCTGCGCGGCTCCGCCTGGCTGGCCTGCCTCGACATACAGCAGGACGTCGACGACGGTCTCATGACCTTCACCAACATATACGACCTGCCCGAACAGACCGAGATGCGCGAGGACATCCAGCAGCTGGTCGGTAAGGCTGCCAAGGCTCTCTTTGACACAAAGATGGAATGCGTCACGCACCTCGGCGTGAACGTGAGGTGGTTGAAGCCCTCAGCCCGGGTCAGCCAAGCTTGCGCTGATACTGCTTTTTGTCGCAAATCGAATTCAGTTTAATCCATGCACTTGGCGATGATGAAGTCTTTAATTTGGTATTTATGTTTGCATTGTTCAGCAATTTAAACGGCGTTGTGTGCGTACCGGTGTATTTACATTGATTCCGCGAAGACGGATATGAAATGGAAAAAGTCATGCTTAAGCCCAAATATATATGTTTAATGTGGCGATCCTGACAATGGTTAGACTGAGCAATCAGAAATGCATTGGTTATTCAGGTTCAGAATTATTGGTTACGTCTTTTTGCGACATACCGGCCAGAGTTCGTTACACTTTGCCTTTGTCGACGAAGTTGCATCTCAGACGTACACGGCGTCTTAGTCCCATCTCAGACCGCTGTAGCCTGTAGCCTGTTGCATTGTTTTGTACACACGTGACAACTTCCGACTGGGTAGGAGCATTTGACCTAAATTGGGCGTGCCAAAAGGTGCCAAAGTAGGTCTTGCCTGGGCTGGACGGAGCCCTGTGTCGCGACGGAAGCCCATCATAGCCCAACAGGCATTATCTCGTTCCAAACCGGCCGACCGCTGACTGCTGACCCATGTCTGCCAACCCCTGACTGCTGACTGCTGACCTCTGACCAACGGACCTGTGACCGCTGACCTCTGGCCGCTGACTAGCTGATCGCTGACCTGTTCCCAGGTGACCTCTGACCGCCGACCCCGGACCGCCGACGTCTGATCGCTGACCTCTGATCGCCGACCGCTCGCCGCTGGCCTCTGACCTCTGACCTCTGATCGGCCGTCGGCAGAGCGGCTGGGGAACGACGAGGGTGACCGGGTCTCGGTAATGTCGGACGTGGAGTCGGTGCTCACCCACTACTGCAAGTCACAGCGGGACACCTACCGGCGCGGCAACGGCTGGATGGACCTGCTACAGCCGCTGGTGCCGCTCAAGCTCAACAAGCCAGAGCTCTACTTCACATTCACCAACATCCTGCAGCGATACATACCCAAGTGAGCCAATAGCTGTGGTTTCACTTTGTCGTTGGGAGACTTTGAACAACATGGAGCGATGGGTTTTTTTCTTTGACATATCCAAATTATGGGTGCCATGTGACTAAAGGAAAACCATTTGATACGTGATTGTATATGCTTGCTTTTTATGCTGGTGACGTACGTATGCATGCATGATGGTAGTCCCAGATGAGCGGTTGCTTCATGGTGCCGTGATTCTGGTCCCCGCTCTGTCCGCTGCTCTGTTGCGGGGGAATGAAAAAGGTGCTCGTTGGGCTAGGAACAGTGGGTAACAATCTTGGATGGCTTTATTTCAGAAACTGCAAGAAGGACGGAGATCCATATCACCTGCTTCGGCTGCTGCTGCTGTACCATGAGCCGGAGCTGTGTAACTTCCTGGACACGATCAAGGTCGCCCCCGATACATACACCACGGCCTGGGTACGTTAGCCGACGGTCACCGAAAATGGCCCTCGGGCACCGGTGCCCCCGCTGGGGCTCGACTTCTCCAGTGATATCGGGCGGATGCAGCGTAGCACATGGCCATTCGACCTACATATGTTTGGCCAGAATTTGGGGTTACGAATGGTTTTGACGTTGCTCGATGTAGCACAACGTCGTCGCGATTTTCCCGTAATGCCGCGCACAGTCGTCTTCGGCGTGCTGTCGTCTCTGAAGTGCCGCCACAATTTTTGGTACGTGCCTGGGGACGTCAGAATCTGCTGCGCAAATCAAGAATCGGATGTCTTTGGAGGTTTTGATGTGTACCCGGGAAGTTTCTTCAAAGTTAGAGAAGCTATTGAGTAAAATTGAGCGTGACATATGACGTCTGTTCTATTGTGTCATTCCCCTTGCCCACTAGCCCCGCAGCTCGTGGGGCCTTTGCGGTGGCTGGAGCCACCCCCTGCCAGAGCAGCATACCAGTTAGTGCGGATGTTGATGTGAGTTGCCGTCCCCCCTTCCGCCCGCAGTTCAACAGCCTTTTTGCGGCCACCTGTGACCTGAAGGCGCTTCGTGTCATGTGGGACATCTACTTTCAAATGGACGACCCATTCCTCATCTTCTTTCTTAGTTTGGTCATCCTCGTCAACGCGAAGTGAGTTGTAACCAGCATTTGCTGATGCAGCGGTGGTATGTTTTGGCAGCGTTCTGGTCGCACCTGTACATAGAACACCAGGATTCCATCTTACAGTCCCAGCATGTATAAAAAGAGGAGTTTTATGTTATGTCGAGTAACGCTGCGTACTTCAAATGTTTGTTGAGATGTTCGTGGGGGAGGAGTGCATCCTTGGTGTATGGCCACACGCACTCAAGCCATGTCACTGGTTGTATGTTTACAAGAACGCCGTAGGAATGTGCTCAAAGGAAGCTCATTTCTTTCAAAAGGAAGGCCGGGACCTCCGACCGTACGCCAGCAACTGTCTGCGATTGTGGCGTGTCGGAAACACGTCCGGTCCAGGCGTGGCTGAGCTGTGTGGGGGGGGGGGGGGGGGGGGGGGGGGGGGGGGGAGCGGGGCGGTGCGCGCGACGGCTGGCGGCGGCGGCGGCGGCCGGACCGTGACCGCTGGTGACCTTGCACTCGGCCAGGGAGCAGATCCTGGAGCTGAAGGGCAAGCCGCGCGCGCAGGTGGTCTCCACCGTCTCCTCGCTGCCCTGCTTCATCCAGGCCGAGGACGTGCCAGACTTCTGCGAGCTCGCCAACTTCTACTCCATGAGGACGCCCAAATCGTTCCGGAGAGTGCGTATCCGGAGAGCAGCAGGGCGGAACGGGGGCCCGGGCCCGGGACGGAGGAGTGAGACTCCGGTCCATGAGGGAGTGGACGCCACGAGAGCATTAGTGCAGAACGGGGACCCGGGCCCGGGGCGGAGGGGTGCGACTCCGGTACACGAGGGTTGGACGCCACGAGAGCAGCAGCGCGGAACGGGGACCCGGGCCCAGGACGGAGGGGTGCGGCTCCGGTACACGAGGGATGGGCGGACTGTGTATGGTAATATGGAATAGTGCTTGGGGTTGGTCTTCAGCTGGGAGCAGACACGACAGCCGCTGACACGAGGTAGGGCATAGCCGGAGGCGCGTGTGCTGCCGGTGGTGGCCCGGGTCTTCGTCTATACGCTGTGAGGTGCGCTGACCCACTGTGCCAACTGCTGATTTGTACCCATTCCTGTACACTCCCCTCGCCCCCCCCCCCCCCCCCGCCCATACACACTGCGGAAGCCGCACTGCCACTCGGCAGCCGCGCTGCGTGGGTTACACGACATGTGTTTGCGTGTTTGCTGTGAGCCGAGCCGCTGTGCTGACCACGGGGGCTGCTTCAGCTCGGGCCGCGCCCGGCCAGCTGACCGGCCGCGCCGTCCGCAGAAACTGTACCCGTCGCTGTTCGGCGTGTGCGCGCCCCACCTGTCGTCGCTGCTGACGCCGACGGTGCCGCTGGCCCAGTCGCTCTGCCTGCCCGTCTACGTGGACGAGATCCTCTCCAGCATGGACAGTCGCGACGCGCCGGAGGGTCTGCCCGACACCGACACGGTACCGGCCGCGTGCCCGCGCCCGCGCCCGCGCCCTCGGCGCCCGCTCGCAGCTGGGGCGAGAGGCTGCAGGGCGCTCATCAGCTCTGGAGTGATGGGAGCATAGGCTTGGGAGGTGGCTGCGGATAGGCATGCCTCAACGAGACCGACCATGTTCCGACGCTTATCAGTAGGCACACGTCTACGTGAGCTGGGGGGCAAGATCGCATCCGTCTCATCTGGACTGGACTCCTTCTGCTGAGCCGTCCGCAAATCTCACTTTCCCCAAAGTAAGGTAATGCCTGCACTGACCACTCAGAACGATATCAGCAGTGGGCGGCGGTCCCAGAGTCAGCACGTGCCGGCGTGGCAGCCGTCCCGCTGACGGCCGCGCCGATCGCCGGCAGGTGAAGTTTTTCCTGGTGGACTGCCGGCCGGCCGACCAGTACAACGCCGGCCACCTGTCCACGGCGTTCCACCTAGACTGCACGCTGATGCTGAGCGAGCCGGCGGCGTTCGGCACGGCGGTGGCGGCGCTGCTGAGCGCCCAGCAGCAGGCCACGGCCGCCCGGCACTCGGCCGCCGGCGAGCACCTCTGCTTCATCGGCTCAGGTCGGTGGCAGAGCCGGCGGACCGGGCGCGGACCGGCCGGCAGGGGTCAGACCGGCCCCTCGGACGGAGAGGGGTGGTCAGCACATCGGCGTGGAGGGCGCAGGACAGGGAATCGTACCGGCGAACAGGGAGGGTCTGGCTGCCGAACAGGCAGTCGGACCGTCCAACCCTCAGGCCCTCAGACCGTCCGATCCTCAGACCCTCAGACCTTAAGACCCTTAGACCCTTAGACTCTTAGACCCTTACACCCTCGGACCCTCAGACCCTCAGACCCTTACACTCTCGGGCCCTCAGACCCTCAGACCCTCAGACCCTTACACCCTTACACCCTCAGACTCTCGGACTGTCAGACCCTCATACCCTCGGGACACAGTCAGACTGCCGCAAAAGGTAGGGTCAGGCTGCCGAACAGACAGGGTCGGAGTACCGGGCATGGAGGCCTGCCGCCGACCAGGGAGGGCCAGAGTGCGGGGAAGGGAGGACCGACTACCGAATGGGATGGGTCAGGTCAGAGCACATGGACAACAAGGGAAGTACGGCCAGACGACCCAAGGGAAGGTTACACTGCTGGTTTGGTGTCTGGATCAGGCACTGTGGGCGAACGGTGGGCTCAAAGCCGAGGACTGGGCGGATCACGCTGGACGCCGTGCATGCAAGCCTCCGTGGTCAATATTGTGTTGTGCTATAAATCGGAGATAGAATTGGCATCGTTTTATTTTTCTTTTTAACGAAGGTGATAAAATGATCAGATCAAGTTTTTGAACCCAATATTGCAGGTTATGGGAGGTGCTAAGATGGCCACCAACGAACGAACGACTAAGATTGGTGCAATCTCCATATTTGATGCAGAAGTTGATGTCAAAACTACATTTTGCCTAACCTCGGTGCCTGACTGCTTGCTGTTGATAATACCTGTGCCTTATCGTTTTTGTTTTATGGTTAGTTCGGACACAACACCAATGAGTGTTTCCTGTTGTTGCAGGTCGAGAAAAAGAGGATCAGTTTTTGCACATGGTGGTGGCTTCTTTTCTTCAGAAGCGTTCGCTTTACGTCAGCAAAGTGGAAGGAGGATATCAGGTAACAAAAGTCACTGTTGTCAGTATTTACCCGATGCACTCACAGTATTTGTTTGTTTTTTTCGTTCGCCCATCTCAATATTGGTCGACAGTTTGCCACATGCGTCTTCGCGGGCTGGTGGCTAAGCGTCTGTTACTGGCTGAGAAGCTGCCTTTGCGGCTTCTCAATCCAGCCAACCACCTGGCAGAATTCAGAAGCCTCCCTTGCGCCTCTTGTGCGATTCGCCGCCTGGCACGCTCCTGGAGACTCCCCGGCGTCACCAGCCGGTCTAGCCACGCGCCGCCGCCCGGCCGCCCTCCTTGTGACGCTCCTGACGCCGCGCCGGCGCGCCGACAGGCGGTGCACGACATGCTGTCAGAGAACCTGTCGGCGCTGGCCGACCACTCCGCACGACAATGCGTCGTCTGCACACCGGACGAGGCGGCGGCCGGCTCGGACGGCGGCCGGCCGGCCTCCGATGCCACTGCCGCCGCCGCCGCAAACAAGACCTCCCTCCTCGACCGGCTCGGCGCCCGCTGGAAGGTCAAGGGCCAACAGGTGAGCGCGTGGGGCTGCTGGTCGGGCTGTTTACTGGCGCGCGTGTTGCCGGCCAGATACGCTTTTGCTGCTGCCGTCCCGGTCCAAGTCGTCAGAGACCGGACGTTTTCTGGGGGAAGGGGGGCGTCGAATGTGACGTGTTCGGCTGGGTGTGAGCTTGCCGTCCGGGCCGGTGGGCCGCCCGCCCGGCTGACGCTGGTCGCGTGCCACAGGTGAAGGAAAAGCTGGTGGACATCATCACGAACGCGTCGGCCGAGCAGCCTGAGCGGCACGTCAGCAGCCAGGACAAGGGCAAACGCTACCGCAACCTAGCGCCCGTGTTCTCGCTGGACGACGAGCAAGACGGCGGTGCGTGGAGGTGTCGCCGGCCCGCGGGGGCGGCCGGCCGTGTGGGCTGTCGGTCCGGAGCCCTGTGCCGACGGCCGACAGAGGCCGGGCGTGCCGGCCACGCAGCTGCTGGGCTGCTCCTCATTCGCGAGGCGGGCGGCGACTCGGAATGTGCAAGTTGTATCATGTAACGACGTTCGGCCGGCATTATGACGTGAAGACCGAGAACCTCGAGAGAGTTGACATGTTTACTGTGAAACTATTGTTGACGTGTTCACTGTGAATTTATCAGGCCTCGTTAACGCCTTGCACCTCTGCGCCAGTGGGTGGGGGGGGGGGGAGGGGAAGGCTGTGCTTTGTCTTTGCTGTCGGTGTCGGTGCGACTGTCATCTTTAACACGCGCAGGTGCTGTGTAGGCCTGCACCAGTCTGACCTGGCACTGACTGTTCTGTCCTGCCTGTGCGCGAGCTGACGGCGCGCCGTGCCGTCCGCAGACGAGCTGGAGGAGGTCGAAATCGCTGACGAGTCCACCATGGAGCTGGTGGAGGTGGCCGACTGGCTCCAGAAGCCCGAGGTGCTGCACCAGTTCAAATGCCAGCACATCAAGGACAGCCGCCTGGCGCACCCGAGGTACGACCCCGGCGGGCGCTGCGTCTCGCTGAGGCGGGCTGCCGGAGCGTGGCGGCAGGCGCCGGCCGACGCCGACGGCGGGGCTGCGAGCGTGTGGTATGTCGGCGGCGATCTCAGATCAAAGTTCGGATGCTTGCTGTGTGATGTTCAACCGCGTCAGTGGCAGTGCGGCGTGTTCGGCGGCCGCTGTCCTTGCCGGGTCGGCGCGTCGGCGGGTCGGCGGTCAGTGGATCGGTGCGCTGCCCACGTCCGAGCGTCGCCTGTGCCGCAGCCTGCTGCTGGTGACGCCCACCCAGCTGCTGGTGCTGCGAGAGATCGCCGGCAAGCCCGGCTGGGCGCACCTGGCCGTCAAGCGCTCGCTCACGTCCATCGTCACCATCACCAGCAAGAAGAAGCGGCCGGAACTCATCACCTTCAAGTACGGCGTCAACGAGGGCGACAGCATGACCGTCACGGACCTGGACAGGTAGGCAAGCCTCCGCAGCGGCTGAGGTTACGAGTGTGCTTCGAACACTCGACATCGCGGCTTTGCAGCGTTAGTGTGGTCTGCTCTTGCATGTGTGGCTGCTATGACGCGCGTATTGTACCGGTGCTCAGAACAGCCATATGTTCATCTCAAGCCGGCGTGCGTCACGCAGGATTGGGAGTACGCATACGTAGAACACCGTGCCGAATAATTACGTGAGCGCTGTTTACAGAAGCAGCAATGCCACCAAGCGCAATTGGCCGTTCGAAATATCACATTAATTCCGCTAGCCATTTTTTTTTAGGCTGAAGTGTATGGTGTCAGTTGAGCAGTGGTCCTCTGCTGGCTGATCGCGCCCGCCGCCGTGTGTGATGACGGTGTGCCGCTCTGGTGGTCGGCCGTCCGCTCGCCTGATGTGCGGCGCCTGTGGGCCGGTGCCGACCGCCGACCGACCGCGGCCCGTGCCCACCGCGCGCAGGTTCTATATCCCGCGCGCCGGCGACGCCACCAAGGCCGTCAAGATGGCCATCATCCAGCTGTCGTCGGAGGCGGAGGCGGAGGACGGAGGCGAGACGTGACGCGCCGCACCCGCCGCGGACCTGACGAGAGAGGGAGAGAGGGCGGGCCGGCGGACCGGCGCCCGAGCCGCCCTCTTCTGCCGACGACGGGAGCTGTGAGCGAAGCGGCGCGCTGGCGGGCTAGTGCCGGGCCGCGCCGGTGTGCGGCGCCACCGTCGGAGCCGGGCGCCGCCTCCGGTGTCCGGACTGGAGCGGGCGCCTCGCTGCGAGGCCGGGTCAGCCGGGCTGCATTCCATGTGAGGTCGCGCTGCAGGCAAAGCGGCGTGCTGTGTCCTGTGGAAGAATGCCGGGGGTCAGCCGGTGGTGCGGCACAAGGAAGGCTAAGTTCCAAGTATGGTGTGGAGCCAGGTGTCTGGAGTATTTATTCCGCTTGCATTCAGTTATGGGAGTTGATCACCATCGGCGCCTCTGAACACCCCAATTAAGAAGATTGCGATATTCGTAGACATAGGTAACCAGTTACCAAGAATACCGAAATCCTTTTTTTTTGTCCGTGAAGATCATGTGATAATCAGACCACAGACAGTATTGGTGATGATGGCAATTAGTTGGTTGATGCAATATGTAGTGCGGAAGAAAGCTGATTTTTGCATAAAAAGATATTGCTACCATGAGCACATAAGCTTATATCTGGTAGTCGTACATTCTTTTCTGCAATATTTGCCGGGTCGCCGTTCATACCGTAAAGGCTGTTCTCAATTCGCCATTTCGAAACACCTGCCTTCCCTTAGAAATGGACTGCCAGGGACGGTGTGCGTCGACGAAGAGTGGTCACTGTCGCAGACGTGACATGCATTTTCAATTTACTGGATGGCATGATCTTGTTAATCCTGATTGAAAACAAGCGACCCAGTGTCCGTGGCAGCGGTGAGATGGTTTATTTCTAGTCCCAGTCGTAGAGAGGCGCTTGTGACCGCGCCGAGTGAACGGCGGCGGTGGCGGCTGGCCCCGGTGTCCGTCCCGTCCCTGTTGCCGGGGCGCGCCGCGTGCTCTGGCACTCCGGGCGTCCTCGGACCAGCGGCCGCCGTACAAGTCTGTGGTCAACTCGTGCGAGCGCTCGTCGGCTGGCGGCCCGTCTGCCCGTCCGTGATCGAGTGACTGTGAGCGCGTGTCGCCGGCGGATGGTGCCGGCCGGCCGGGCGGACGTGCCGCCTTTCCGCAGTGTAAAATATACCGAGTATTTATCGCGATTCTCTTGGTTGGTACCGGCGTGGGCCCGCAGAAGTCCGTGGATGTGCAGTGAGGACCCACTACGCATTCATTTAGATGCGCTCACACTGCGACTCTTTGGCCTGCACTGGACGGGACAGGTTTCGAAAGGGCTGTTTTGTTATTACTTGAACATTCGCATCATATTTAATTTCAAGTAGTGGATTTTTTCAAGGGTTGACAATTTTTCAACCGCAAGATCTACATTTTTATGCAATGTCCGTGATATCACATATCCGTATCGGTTTATTTGGCGGTGTATGGTGTGGCGAATTACAATTTCGACGAAAACGTGGTAGATGGTCAATTATGGCACCAGGACACCGAATTTGACGTCTGTTTTACGATGCCACGGGACCTCCAAGGTCGGATGACGGGGAACTCAACATAACCTAAAAGTTACCGGCCTATTTCAGGTTTTAAGCATCAGAATATCCACCAATGCATGGAATCGGGTGTTTAAAGAAATCCTGACCTTTGATATCGCCCCTCAAGGTCGAACTTAGACCAAAACTATTGGAAACTCCATATCATCTAAGAATTACCGCCCGCTTTCGGCATTCTAAGCGTCGGAATATTCACCATCGCATGAACTAGCGTTCGTTAACAAGCCCTGACCCTGCAAGGTAACTTCAATGTCAAATGACGAGGACAATCGCGTTACCCGATAGTTTCCGGCCAGCTTCGGGCTCTTAAGCACCAGAACCGTTTTCGGCACATGGACTAGCATCTACCAAGACGCTCTGGCTTCTGAAAGTTATTCCTCAAGGCCAAACACAGGGCACTGCATCACCCCAGTTATAGGCCAATTTCGTATTTCAAGCATCGGAATTTTCTTCAGTGTATAAACTAGAGGCTTTCAGTAGGTCCTGACCTCTCACAGTCATCCTTAAAGGCAGAATTTAGGCTTAAAGAACGGAAACTCCATACCATCCAAGAGTCACCGAGCGATTTCAGATTTTTGAGCATCAGAATGTTGACCAGCGCATAAACTATCGTTCTAAAAAATCCTGACCTCAAGGTCGTTCTTCAAGGACAGTTTAGATTGAGATGACTGAGGCTTCATATAACCAAGAAGCTACCGTCCGATCACGGATTTTTAAGTGGAGTTCCCCGCCATTTGATCATAAAAGGTGAACTTCAGAGGTCAGGACTTTTTGACGGCCACTAGTTCTTGTGGAATGTCACGCAACCGGTTTATCTTGATTCAATGCTGCCTTCACTGATGCCGAAATTTAGTTAACGTTCAACGATTATTTTATGTCATTTGACATGGTGCAGTGTCCTATAACGCTTCGTTTATAACTATACTGAAACAATCAACGGGCATAAAATTGCCATCTTCAAAAGAAGCTCACCGAAATCATGCCGGCGTCACACACCCAGCCTGCAGCGACGCACCTCAGCGATGATGGTGGCCGCACGCACGCGATAAAGAGACCACACTGCTTGAAAAAGTCAGCGCCGAGTCACGACTCTTACATAACCACCACGTGACCGCTTGTGCGGCGCTAGCTGAGAAGTGGCAATACGGAGAGCACGTGCATTTTGCAGCGAGCCATACTCAACTCGTCGTGTGTTGGTGGTAAACGTGTGATCCTCATTCAACGAAGGTCGTCGGGGCTTAACAATTATATAAATTGGTTGAAAAGGGATAGTCATTATGGGATGGGTAGCCAAATATTTTTGGCAGTGCACCGGCCTAAAATCTGATAACAGACTTTAGCAAGGATTGCTTTGAAATCATATTTCTTGCTAATCAAAGCCTGGATCAATGACCTGACTTCGCCAAGTCGGTAGGCCAATGTTCGTCTAACGAATAGGCTTCGCTTCGACCTTTCAGCCAGGTGGTACTTACTGTCTGTATTCACGGCTGGCACTTACTCGTCGAAACCCGTCACCTTTGAGCGTTCTGATCAGACTGCGCATATCGAGCCCCTGCACTTTAAGATCAAGTGTTTGTCTCCGTGTAATCCCTCTGGGCGCGGTGAATAGCGATGCACGACTTTTATCTGATATTGTTGCAGTATTGCATCAGAATCATGGGAACGCGGCAGCCGCTGCAGGACAAACCAAGAGTAAATTCCACTGGCGGTGTATGTGATGCACGATAAGCGGCAGGATAAGACTCCTGCTCTCGTCCGGTACATTAAACTCGACGCTGTCGTCAGTTGCCGCCCATGCCACGTCTTTCCCATCGTTACTGTGCCAGGCGCCACTGTGGCAGAACACGCCCGACTCTTCAGCGGTAGCGCGCGCTACTGGCTGGCTGGATGGCTCGAGCTTGAATTGACCCTAGCTCTTGCTCGTATTAATGATTTCGTGGCCGCATCCAAGTCACAAGGTTTGCTTCAAGTTAATATTGGCAGTTTTTTCAAATCACGGTCCGTAATTAAGGGGAGCCTTCGCTTTCGGTCTGAATTTACTATAGCACCAACCAGTGCCATGTCGTTTCCACAGCTGGTTCGAAAGCCAAGCTGTCCAGCTTGGCCATCAGCAAACGTCGAGGTAGAATTCAGTTATTGCTGCAGGCACAAGTCATGCGTTAGTGTTCACTAAACCGAGACCTCGTTTTGCGGTCAGGACGGCCAGGAAAACGTGGTAATGCTCCACATTTGACGCTGTAGCCGGCAACACCGCCGCTGTCACGCTGTGAAGCTGAAGCGTGAAGCACGCCATGACCACCTTTAAAACAGCGTTCATGACGCATTCGATGTACCACCCGTGACGTGCTTGGCGTGTATTGCCCCTGAGGACAGAATTCTGCATCAGCTTCTTGCTGGTGGCTGCTGAAGTAGACCCCCTGGCGTCCCGGTATACCGGGACACCGAGGGAGGAGGCGGGCACGGCTGGAACACCGGGGGAGAAGGCGGGTAGGGCTGGGACACCGGGGAGGAGGCGGGCAAGGCCTGGACGCCGGGGAGGAGGCGGGCACGGCCGGAACACCGGGGAGGAGGCGGGTAGGGCTAGGACACCGGGGAGGAGGCGGGTAGGACCGGGACACCGGGGAGCGGGGCGGGCAGGGCTGGGACACCGGGGAGGAGGCGGGTGAGGCCGGGACACCGGGGAGGAGGCGAGTGAGGCCGGGACACCGGGGAGGAGGCGGGCGGGGGCGGGACACCGGGGAGGAGGCGGGGGGGGGCGGGGGAGGACACCGGGGAGGAGGCGGCGGGGCCGGGACACCAGGAGGAGGCGGGCGGGGCCGGGACACCGGGGAGGAGGCGGGCGGGGGCGGGACACCGGGGAGGAGGCGGGGTGAGGCCGGGACACCGGGGAGGAGGCGGGCGGGGGCGGGACACCGGGGAGGAGGCGGGCGGGGGCGGGACACCGGGGAGGAGGCGGGCTGTGCGGCCTCTGCGCGCCGCTGTCGGCCGACCCACCGACGCCAGCTGGTGGCAGACGGTCCTAACGCGCTGCATCTCACCAGGCTTCTCCACAGAATCCGGTGTTCGCTCCGCCGAGAACGGAGACGGAGCATGGAAGGCACAGTCTAAACCTGGAGCATCGTGTAGACTGTGATGAGTTGGCCAGGAGTTCTAAGATTCCCACTACTGCATGACGTACCGAAAGGACAGGCAGGCAAAGCGGACCAGATTCATAGAAATGAGTTTAGATGGTGTCTTAGACTATGCAGAAACTAGATAGCAGTAGTCATACTCGTCAAAATATAGCTTGTTTTAAGTGACAGGTGCTCAACAACAAGAATTCCCCCGTCATGTCTTCGTGCAAAGCCTGGTTCAGATTGCGCCATGTACTTCTCCATGCCTATAATGGGGTAATGTGCAATCGTGCTAATTAAATTTCGTAAGTTTCCCATGGCCAAGTGCAAGTGCAGTGTTTTACCACGCTAGGTGCTTCATACTATCAGTCCTGCCTGATCATTTCGATAGGTGACGAATGTAAATTCCAATC